TCAAACTTTTTACAGAAATAGTATCAACATTTATTACATGTTGCCCCTAATTCTATTATGAAAATGATCGTTTGGATAAAGCAACCAATTCACAATCCGAGAGGTTTGTATTTCTAGCGGCAATGAAAATATAGAGTAAGAACAACAATTTCATCAGTCTAATCTGAATGATCATGTATAATATTGTGTACACACAGATTAGATCAGATTAGCCTGATGTAATTGTTCTCCTTGCTTTATATTTTCATTGCCTCTAGAAATACAAATCGCTCGGATTGTAAATTGGTTGTTTCATACAAGCGCTTCATCCAACTACACAACACAGCAACTTGCAATATTTAGTTCCATTTAAAAATGGCACGACACTAAATCGATGAAGCTTAATAGGCCATTCACGCAATACGTACTTTAACAAGGAGTAGAAGTTTGGGTAGCACCACAAATAGATGAAACAGCGCTGTGAGTAAAAGTGAGAAAAAAGTTAATTACAAGATCTTAGTACTTGAAACCACGAACTATACTGACTAGATAACTAACTACACTGGATTTTTCTTTGAAACTTTTCTTAAACATTTTTGTTTATTCTTTGTGTTGACCAAAGAAGCCACAGAGGAAGCCTTGGGGAAATTTTTTAAGTAAATAATATTCTTAAAAATTCAAATTCTATAACTAAGAGGCCAATAACATTTTTGACTTAAAAATTAATACATCAAATAAACATATTTTATTAATTATTTAATTTTATCGCAATTTGTATTATAATTATTTTAATAGCTAATAACATCATTATCTTTATGTAAAAAAATATGGTTTAAATACATACCTATTATTTAGTTTCCATTACCGAATTATTTACAACCGCACTTAATCGCAATTAACTGAAATTTATTTCGCTTCCAATTTCTATTGCCGAACCCTATGCGATTCTCCATTAACGCACATTTCGAGTTCGGAATTGGATTTAATGAAATATTTTCAATGTATCTTTATAATTAAATAATAAATTGTCACCATAAATTTTAATAATATGCATATTTTATTATTTAAATATTGTACTGTTAATGCATTGTTTCTGTATCGAACGCAACAAAAAAGGAAAACATCGAATAAGATAAAAATATATGAAATACGGCGTTTAAAATTGAATGTCGCCTTAAATGGTGGAAAACGCTCAAATTTGCGTATCACAGGCATTGAGAGCAACATGAATCAGATACTAAACATTACATAATGTACGAGTTTTGATAAGCAATAAATAATTTATTGGCTGGACGCGGCACGTAATGATTTATAAACAAAAATGCACTGCTCCGACTTGCAATTGTCACCATAATCACCAAGTAACAACCCGTTTTATATTCAATTAGGGACGGCGAAGATGTTTGCGCATCATCAAATGGTCGTAACCCAAGTTAACGACACTATATGCAGCCTTATCGATATCATCAAAATCTGATCTGAAATAAGGAGGAACATGTTCAATAAATTAAAGCAAATTTTGGGCAAATTGGCCAAAAGAAGAGAGGCGAACGTGTTAAAGCCTAATTTTATGATTTTGTACACTTGTACAGATATACACGCTCATAATCAATCAGCAAAGGACAGAAGAACAGTTGGACGGACGAACTGGTTGGACTGCAGACAGACACATCTACGGAAAGCCAAAAATATCTGTAGGTGTCGGTTTAATGTTAGGCGTAAATAAAGTTTTTTACCCACCACAATCAGCGTCTAAACCAGAAGGGCTACAAATGCAAATTTTTGTATTTTGCCTCTATTAATGGTAGTAAAATAAAGGTTATGTTTCATATTTACACAAGTATGCTTTTCAATTGAAAATTTAGTCCGAAAACAATTGCTGCGAACAAAAATAAACAAAGCCAAAATTGTCGAAGTCATGAAGTGTTTTGAATGAGAAATATAAATTTGAAGCCATTTAAGCAATTGCAGCTGAGATTCGATATTTCCACATTAATGCCAAAATGACCATTCGACCAAATGCTCCAGCATTACCTTATTTGTTGCAAACAAACATATAAACTTATTGCAAACTTACAACAAATGCCGTATGGTAATCCATTGAAGTTCAGACGAACACATGCTCCTCCATAAAGTTTAGAAGTTTACGTTTCTTCATTGGCTTACATAGCCAATTTCAAACCGCAAAAGTGCTCCCAACCTGCACAAATACTAGATTACACAAATTCGTGAACGGATACAAAATAGTAAATAATTCAGATTTTGTACAAATGTCACGTGATTAATCTTCTCCTATACTTACCCGATTAAGTTTCATAAAATGGTTTCATGTTTCCAATGACAGTACAAATAAGGACAATAAATAAGGAATGGCAGCAGACAAAACTGAACATATTCTGCCACCTTCCATCCATCCCATCCATCCTATCCAACTGACAATTTCACATACTAAAGCCTTGGCGTGCTGGTACTTGGCTGCCATTAAACATTTACTAAATCAGATAAATTCACAAACATTATACAAGCCACAAATTGGAGGTAAAACGCAAATCACTTCATAAGCAGCTCCGCACCATAACAGCCTTAATGTCTCCTGCTTCTGCTTGGAAGGAGTTGCTGGAAATGTAGATATTAGTTGGTATTGGTAAAAACATTTTGTTAATTACCAAAACAATTTTCTATTACTGAAAACACTCACAAATAGGACGAATTTATATTCTTCTACGTTCTAAATTTCAATGAAGGACTCATTTGTAGTTTAGGAAAATTTTGAAATATTTTTGTATGAACTTTTAAAGAAGAACAAATATTTTGTACGTTAATAAGATATCATATTGATACATTTTAAAGCCCAACAAAATTTGGGCTTATGACGATGCCATATAAATGTGCATTAAACTACTGTATTTATTGTATAAGAAATATATGTTGTCAGATATTTAAAAATCTTTAGTAAGATTATCTAATATTTTTATGGTCACGAATTCAATATTCAACAAGGTCTTTTTTTAGTTTCAATAAGATTTATTTTGTCAGTCCTCGCCATGCTAAGTCCCTACTAATGGTAGGATCTAACGTGAACACCATTTCTGCACGAAATGTGCTTTAATTACTGATTCTAAATTTAAAATTAATAAATATTTTCAAAGAGTTTAATGAGCTAATAGACCTTAGTAGATCAATAACTTATCATTATGACAACTTAAACGCCTTCTCTATAACATCATTGTTTCTATGCTTGGGTTTATTTTAATTTAAAATTTATATATTTATGCGCTGATTCTGAGCTTCATATTTGGCAGGACCCGAGTTCGATTCCTGGTACTTGCAGTCTCAAAAATAATTATTTACGAATAATTAAATATAAGAATTATTTCAGGACCATGTGACGGTATTTGGCAATACTCGAAACAGCTGTATGGTCAGCCAAAAATTCAATTAATTAAAATAATTTAAAAAATAAATTTTTGTTATTGTTTCATTTCTGTTCGAAAAACCTCTTTATATATTTATGTAATCTTATCTTCAATACTATTAATAATAATTTCTAATTTGATTACTAGATTTTATTAAATTCAATCACTTAACAAGTGTCACTTTTCTATTTGTGTACGTCATATGGGAACGTACATAGAGGTTTGTTTAAGATGGGGTTTCGAGATCTAATTCAACGTTCATGTAAAATAAGTTGATTGAAAGAAATTAAATTATAATATTTGGTGTAAAATGGTTTGAAATATTTTTAAAGGTTTGAACCCCAAAATTTAAAGTCCCCGTGTTTATATTTATTATCTCTGCGAAAAAATAAGCATAGTTGTTCGACAGTTCCATATCAGTTGTTTCAGTAATTTTCATTTTCAGATGTTCTTAATTATTTGCATACTGACAATATTATACTAATTTGTATTTTTGGTGTGTATTTTGCAACTTATTGGTTAACATAATTGTTCTAAAAACTACAACTCATATGGTTTGTAAATCAATAAATGGAAAATGATGGGAAGCACTTCCGCATCCACATCCTTTACAAGAAAGCACAGATTACTCACATCGACGAGTACCTTCATACGGTGCAAAGTGGTCTCTTACTTCTCGACATCCTAATCCATAGCAATCTATTAGTATAGCCTTGTAGTTGGCAAATCGTGCTGGTACCTAATGCATATACGGATTTTGTTACCCAAATAAAGCTGGTCTACCTTAGTCTTTCTGATGTTCACATTCTTTTAAAATTTAATTTTCTATAGTCCCCAAAGGAGGTAAACTTATATCTATATTAGTTATGATTATGTAATACAATTATTTTTCCTTAAATTGACACCTAAATAAAGATTTACTAACTTTATGTTTTATATTATATTTTCAAACTTAAGAAACTTTTGTCTTTTTAATTTCAGTTTACGATCGTTACATTTTTAAATTTCATCTTAATTAAATATTTACATTCAAAGTTTAAGCCAAGTACGAACCATATCTGCTGAGCCCATGCTCCATACCTGATGCAGCCACAAAATTCTAATTTCATTTTCAAAAAACAAAAATTAAATGAAATATATTTATTTTCATTTCAATACATTTTTCAGAGTTTTACGACTCGGCCCCTCTTTCACTTCCATTTAATTTACTCCCTGAGGATCGCAAATGAATTGAATGAAGCTTAAATAAAAAGCTAAGCAAACAGAGCAGTTTCCTTACAATGTGCAGAATCAAACAAACACTTTATCATCCATTTAAATGAATAATAAATGAATCCGGCACTCCACATGAAAAGAAGCCACCAGCGTTGCCTGTGGTACCTGCACAAAGATTGCCTCTTGTGCGGCCGTAAAGGCACAAGGCAGTGCACTCGTGTTGTACAAAATGTTTTTAATTGCATGTCATTTGAAGTTTTTATTTACTTTTCATCAAGTTGTCCGTCTCCGTCTTCGCCTCCGCCTCCGCCGCCATCCCTATCCTCTTCTACCCTTATCAACTTCAGTTACAAGTAATAAAGTATAAATCGCAAAATAAAAACAAAAAAATTAATGTTGGAATTTGTCATTTAATAATTAAAAACTAAATTGGAGTGAGATAAGTACGCATGTCCAGAACTGCAGCTGGAACCTACAAGCTGCACTCTAAACACAGCTCATCACTCTTGCCGAGAGTAGAATTTAATCCGCTTTAACCATTGCGTTTGATGTGACACTTTCAAAACTATCATTTCCTACAGCAACAGCTTCATATCCTGTCATTCCTAACCCTGCGACAGCATTTGCGCCCAATCCCAATCCCATTCCAATTCCGTATTGCATGCTTGGATTAAGATTGGGATTTCGGTTTCCAGCTGTTGTGGTTGTTGGAACTGCACTGTCAAATGCATTTTGCGTAGTTGGCAATTGTGCGGTATTGTCGTTATGATGACTTGAATGTGGTTGTGGCTGTACTGTTCCTACTGCTATTCCTGCTTCAGCATGGTTGGCCACCATAGTTGTCATAAGAGTATCATCAACTTCACTTTTACTTTGTAATTTTTCTAAAGTTTTTGTTGTGCCTTTGGGTTTGCTGCCTTTTTGTGATTGTGCACTCGTTGTTGTTGTCGAATACTGCACAACTGGAGGTGCGTATTCTGGCACTTCCAGATTTCGTGGCAGCACAGGTTGTTGAAGTGTGTTAGTTGCTTAATTAATAATAATTAAAATCTTATTTATTATCCTTATTGCTCAATTCATCTTTTATATTTAACAATTATATAATTTTCTTAGTATTTCATACTTACAGGATACTTCATGGAAACCGTTCTGATCTGCTGTATAAAATACTGTCAAAAATTTTCCATTTGGCATTGGATAGGAATAATATCCTTTTCTTGCTAAAACCATCTTTTTACCAACTGGTATCCAGTATGCCCGTTCATAACGAGTGTCTCCATTACTCAAGACATATCTGAAAAAGTGAAAAAGTGGAAATTCATTTTGACTTACTTAAATGGGCAAAGTGAACCGACTTGGTTTGTGCAAACGAATGAATGAAAGAATAGTTCAATAGTTTGGTTATCAATGTGAGTATTAAATAATATTTCATTAATCAGTATAATAACTAATGAATTTCCGTAATTAAGTATAAGTGACTTCTTTGTCATTGTAATTTGTGTTACATAAACGAATTGATAATAAAATTAACTTAAAATTTTTTTTAGCTTTAATATTCTTTTTTCAATAATGAAAGAAGTGATATATGCATTCCAATTAAAATTACACAGTATTATATTTACCAATTTTAGATTGTATATCATCAAATAAGATATTTAAAATTTATAAGTGCACGACTTACTGTTAAGATAGGGTATTGCAGTTTTTAAACAAGTTTAATTATTACCAATTGCGGATAAGGAATTTCTGTCTATTTTAGAAGGGAACTGAATAAAACCATTAATTTATCAGTCAAAGTTCTCTTCGTGTTCGAGTAATATTTTGGACCCCATTCTAAAGCTTTATCCACCTGCACCATTCAAAATATATTAGTTATATTACAATTTCTTAATTTTAATGTTAGTCTAGCCCGCGTTCCATAAGATAGTTTGCCATTGGTACCCATCTAAGAACAATTAAGTAACTAAACCACTAACATTACACTACATTAATTCTATAATCACTTTAAAAGAGCAAAGTAAATAGCAATGAGTTTACTTTTGATTATATTTACTTTAGACCTTCGGATGGATGCAAATTTTCTTCCAAAATTAATTTGGTAGCATTTGAAGGATTTTTGAGTACTTAAAATTGAATTCTTTTCTTTCGGTTTCTTCTTCTTCTGTTTGGTTAATGTGGTATCATTACAGATGGAAATATGCAAATCACTCACCTGTACTCGTAATGACCGTCCAAAGAACGTTTATCAAATCTCTCAATGAGTCGTGGGCTAAGCACTTCAGCGGGATGATAGGTGCGGTCATCATCAGCATTATTCGATGCAGCTGCTGTCGTTGTCTTAATAGTGGTAGGTGTCGCTTTCGTTGTTGGTGTTGTTGTTGTCGTTGTCCTGCTTTTTCTGGTAGTTGTTGTCCAACGTGCTTCCGCCACATTAAGCACGCTAAAGACACAAATAATGGTCGCCAAAATTAAAGCACGTCTCATTTTATGGCCGCTTAGGAGCTTTAAAGAAAATTTAAAATTTTAATTTGTTTAATGCTCGAAATCGCCCGAGTTTATCACTGGGCATTGTTGTTGTCTTTTTACTGTCGCTCACTTAGTATGCAATCTTCAAGTTTATGCTTCGACTGAAATTTAATAATTGATTCTTAAAAAGCCAAATTTTTGGTTTTTATACCCCCGAAAATTGGTTTAGCACAGAATCCTTCTCATTCTGAGTTTTGTTATTATTTATGGCCATTTACGAGTGGATATGTATGTGTATGTGTATGAGTGTGTGCATTTCTTTTAAGCGCTGGCTATCAGCAACAGCAACAGCAACAGCAGTTCAGCAGCAGAGTTGTTGTTGGTATTGAAAAAGATGACAGCAAAAGCTTGTTGTTGTTGGTTTTTATTTGTGCTTTTGTTTTTGCATTTCTTGTGGTTTTGTGTGAAATGTTAACAAGAAGTACAAATTATGGCAGCGCCCACACCCTTCGGCGTAACCCTGCAGCTCATGCCAGCGAAGCTGGTACATATTGTTTATTCATTTCTTTCATTCGCTTTAATTTTATAACTGCGCTGGTTCAGTTTGACGCTTGTTCTTTGTAATAATGGTTATTCCCGCTCAAAGTGTGCCAAGTGTAGGGAAAGGCAGAGACGATAACTGCAGCGCCGCACTGCAGCGGCAGCAGCAGTGGCAGCAGCAGCGCACTAAAACAGCGGCAGCAAGTGCAGAGTAGACATTCTTGTTTGGTCAATGACCAGTGCAAATATGCAGCTATGCGGCGCTGCGTTGCGTTTGTTTTTAGCTTTCGAAATGTTTGCGTCAGCGGTCAACGGGAACTAAACGCATTACCTGATGCAAATCGCGATAAGCTTCGTGCTTTATAATTATAAGCAATAAAAGCATCGGTTTATGACTAAGCTCTGGCATAAATTTATGTCCTAACGACTTTTTTCCACTTATGACAATCCAAATGCATGAATTCAACAATTTTAAATCATTTTCACTGGAAAGTCCTTATGCTTCTTCTTCCATCTCTGCTTCTACTCTTCACCGCCTACATTTCAATTTTATTTGTTATTAAATTTGTTATTTTTGTTTATTTTTGAAGCGCTCAATTCAGTGAATGGCACCAGCAGTGCTAAAAGAAGGGAGCAGAGAGCAGTATGAGAGTAGGAAGACGAAGAAAAATTGCGCTGTCAGCACATTTTTCACATTTGATTCTAGATACTTTACACAGTTTGTTGCTTTGCTGTCACTGTGTACTAATAATCGTTGTTGTTGTTGTTGTTGTTGTTGTTGCTGTTCTGTTAAAATTGTGAGTTTATGTCCTAGAAGTTGTAATTGATGGTTTTTGTTCTTGTCAAAAATGTCAATGAGACGATATTTTTGAAAAACTTGTGTAATGGAAAAATATATTCGTAACAAACGAGATTTAAATATCAAGAATGGATTGCAATCCAAGGAGTTTAATTTTGTGCTTTACTTTGCCGAGTGCTTCAGCCGCAGGTTTCGCAGCCACCATTGAAGGGGATTTTTGTGCATGAGTAGATCTGGCGGTGAATCTGCATGAGTTGGAAGAGCATGATTTCATCGTTTCGCAACAAAAAGTGCTATTTTAGAACTCAAATTTAAACTCCGTTACACTTACTTATCCTTTGAATTCCACTTTTCTGTGGTAATCACTTCGTCATTATGTCAACTTAGTTGCTATTGAAAAAATTCTGTTTACAAAACTATAGAAAATTTTGAAATGAGAATTCGTTATTCGGATTTATGTAAAATGTGGATTGTTAGAAAATATTTGTGAGCTTCATTCATGACCTTCATGGCCTACTTACACATAAAATTCTATAAAATGGTGATAACAATATCATAACATTCATAGCGATGAAAAATTAACGATAACTACCTTGGTAAAAAATAGGTCTAATTTGAATACTAGTGCAAAGACTAAACTTTATATAAACAGTATTGGTGTACACTGGTTACCAGTTATGTAAAATCAATTTACAGAGCAATGTACATTTATATAGCGCTATTATTGAAGGGTACCGCCTGCTCCATAACTAATCTTTCTATAGGACGAGTCTATGCAATAGTTTTCATGTCATTTCGTTTTGATGTTTTAGTAACTTTATGTATTAGAATTAGAATTAGAATATGTAGAGACGTGAATCCACATTACCTCTTTGGAATGAGTCGTAAAGATCTCAGTCATTAGACTATGAAAGAATTTCGGTCTTGGTGGTAATGAATGAATCAAATGTTAATATATTTAATAAGGACAATATAACACAGTTTTTAGTTAACTTACACTTTTCAATTTCAATTATATTAAATCTTAAAAAATCGTTTAAATTCAAATAAGTGGAATTTATTTTAATTTAGATATAAAAGCGCCTACTTGCATGTAATAGGAATGGTAGAAAGTTATTCAGAAAAAAGGCACAACAAATGCATATTTATAGTTAATAGCGTAATTTTATAGAGTGGAAGCTATTATACATGAAGAGGAATTGAATCACAAACGGCTTATTTTAACATACAATAATAATTCACTCAGTACTTTAAATTCGTATTTTGAATTATCTCTGAACACCTCAAAAACATTTTCAAAAATTAGATAATGGTTTGTACAACATTGGTAATCTGAAACTTGTTTAAAGTACAATTTAAAACTAAATGAAGATAGGAATTTCAAAGAAAAAAAGATTGAAAACGATACAATGTTATTGAGAAGTAAAGATACGACCCACAAAACTTGTGGCATTTCAGACAATGTATATATGGAGACTGAGCAGTAATGGAAAAACACTACCTGTTTAAGTTTTTGGAGATAAATTTAAGTATAAGTAAACTATAAGTAAACTATAACTATAAAAAAAATTTACAAAAATCAAGCTGGGTTAAACCAAGCTCTTCTGGAACGGCTAGTTCCAAGGTACCTACCGCAACTTCTAGCGGTAATAACAGGGTACCTCCTAATAAACCAGGAATCTCCACGCGTTCTGGCCCTTCTGCATGGTCGGGCTCTCCATCCAGGAGAATTTATAAAGAACGGCGAGCGGCGACTAGGCTGCTCGAGAGATATGGTAATGTCTCGGTTACGTCCGAGTCTCTTAAGGCTAGATTAGCCTGGGCCAAACGGGTCCTTGATACTTCTAAGGAAGTCAAAAAGGAACCTGTACCGAAGCGCCAGCGCTCATTAGATGAGTCAGCTTCGAAGCCAGATGCCAAAAAGGCAAAATTTCGTGGCAACGCCACCACTACTAAGTCCTTTAGCGACACGCTGAAGGGCTCCATCATAATGGCGGTCATTGATGAAAATGATCCAGATGGCACTATTAATCCTGAAAAATGGGATCAAATTGAGCGAAAGCTCCTTGACTTGTACGTCGAAGTTCTTAAGGAATTTCCAGGTACAATTCCCAAATGTCGCGACGGTGGATGGTTTCAGGGCCATGTGAAACTAGTCGCCTGCGTTGATCAGCGTTCTGTTGATCTCTTTCGCATTGCCATCTCCAGAATGGGTGAGGTCTGGCCAGGCGCAAAGCTTAAAGTCGTTGCCAAGGAACAAATTCCTGGCCGACCTAGGGCGCGTTCCTGGATTCCAGCCGAATCATCCGACCCTCAGCGGATTCTGGAGCTAATTCGGGTGGGAAACCCTGATCTAAATACGTCCACGTGGAAGGTCACCAAGCTGGAAGAAGCCAAAGGCAAGTTTAGGTCGGTCAGTTTTGTGATCGACAAAGCCTCTCTGGCCATTTTGGCGCGATCTGGTGGCGTTTTAAATTACGGTTTTTTCCCCATAACTATGAGGGTCTACAAAAAAGATGAGGAGCAATCCTCGTCTGATGTACGGGAATCAGCGGCAATTTCTCAACACACTGCTGATCCCTTGTCGAAAGTGGGCAACATTAAGCCTGCTTCAATGACCGAAGTGGGTCCGGTTATTCCATCTGAAGACTCACCTGTGTGCATGGACATTTCAATGTCTGCTCCTTCGCCAGCTCACTCAATTACATCAGAGGAGAGCATAGGCATGCGCTATCTTTTCGATGAAGAGGAACTCCTAATGAGTAATGACTCTGAGGAGGATAGTGCTTTTGATGTCACTGTGGTGGAGGAAAATGGATCCACACATACTGAAGATGCGGGTACACCAAATTAACCTGCATCATAGCAAGGCTACATCCGCCAGTCTACTGCAACGCCTCAGCAACAACGAGGCTGATATGGTCCTGATACAAGAACCATGGATTTATAAGGATCTTGTGTGCGGAATCAGGGCTAGTAACTACAACCTATTTTATGCGGTAAATAAGGGTAAGCCTAGGTCCTGCATAGTGGTTAATAAAAAATTTAATGCTCTCTTACTTTCGCAATATAGTGATGGTGACCAAACCGCAGTAAGTATCGAGGGCTCCTGGGGCCAAATATGGGCAGTATCTGCATATCTGGCACATGACCATGCCATACTACCATCGAATGTCCTGATACAGCTAACAAGCAGCGCCAGGAGACTCGGGGTAGAGCTTCTAATAGGCTGCGATGCCAACGCTCATCATGAGATTTGGGGCAGCTCAAATACCAATGAAAGAGGTGAGTTACTTTTTGATTTTGTATTTAGTAACAATCTGTTCATCTGCAATGATGGCAATAAGCCAACTTTTATTACAAAAAACAGGCAGGAAATGTTAGATGTCACTCTTGCTACTGCTAGGCTTCACGAATCGGTCAAGAACTGGAAAGTGTCCACTCAACACTCGTTCTCAGACCACATGATTCTAGAATTCACCTTAACCTTAGATGAATCGAACATCTACAATCAAAAAACGTTTAGAAATGTTAAAAACACAAACTGGACGAATTATAATGCAGCTCTAAGTGAGCTGCTTTTAACCACTTCCTTCGATCCCCCTGGGAACACTTTTGATCTAGACAATCAAGTCCAAGATCTCACCTCAGTGCTCAACGAAGCCTTCAGTTATGCTTGTCCCCTCACACAACCTAGTAGGAAATGTAACCCACCTTGGTGGAATAAACATCTAGGTCTTTTACGAAAGGAGTGTAGGAGACTCTTCAACAGAGCAAAACTATATAATAATGAGAGTGATTGGCTGAATTACAAAACCTCTCTGAAAGAATATAAGAAAAATCTACGTAGGTCCAAGAGGGACACTTGGCAATCGTACTGTCAAGAAATAAATACCAATTCTGAAACCTCTAGACTGCGTAAAATCTTATCCAAAAGTCCATCTGTCCCAGAGTTACTCAAAAAATCTGACGGGACATGGTGCAATAATAGTAGCGAATCTTTACAATTACTACTAGATACTCACTTTCCGGGATCTTCTACTTCGGTAGCTGCATCCTCAGAGTGCCCTAATCTCTCACCGGTTAACTCTATTAAGGTTAACCTGCAGATCGTCAAATGGGCTATTTTTAGCTTTAAACCCTACAAATCACCAGGACCGGATGGTATTCATCCAATTGAGCTCCAGAATTCGTGGGAGTTAATACACAACCGGCTTTTGGCAATTTTTAGACATTGTTTCTTATTCAACTATGTCCCGATTAAATGGAGGGAGGTTAGAGTAGTTTTTATACCCAAAGCAGGTAAAACCTCGCACCATAACCCCAATGAACTCCGTCCTATAAGCCTCTCCTCTTTCATGTTGAAGGCTCTTGAAAGAATAATAGACGTAGAAGTAAGGCGTGCTGTAAGCCCCAACCAGTGGTCCCCCTCACAGCATGCCTACACTAAGGGAAAATCTACAGAGACAGCTCTCCACTCCCTCACTTACAGAATAGAAAAATCCATAAAACTCAAAGAATTTTGTATGGTTGCTTTTGTAGATATTGAAGGGGCCTTTAACAATATACTCCCGAGTGCAATAGTAAGCGTGATCTCGCGTCTGGGTGTTGATGATGCGCTCATTGGTTTTATAAATCAGCTGCTAACTGGCAGACTCATTGAAGCAACGATGGGCTCATCAACGGCATGCAGAAGGGTAAATAGAGGTACCCCCCAAGGAGGAGTACTCTCCCCTCTCCTTTGGAACATAGTGGTGAATGAACTGCTAATACAACTGAAGGCGGAGGGATGCGAAACTATTGCATACGCGGATGATATTGCGATAACGGTCACCGGAAAATATACTACCACTCTTAGGGATATTCTACAAAATGGTCTTAATATCCTAAACAATTGGACACAAAAATGTGGCCTTGGGGTGAATCCCAATAAAACTGAAATCGTGGTTTTCACAAGAAAACATACGGTCCTGAATCTTTCTCCACCCTCTCTACGAGGTTCTGTGATACATGTGAAGGAGGAAGCCAAATTTTTAGGTATAGTTTTCGACAGGAAACTCACTTGGAAGAAAAACACTCTAGAGCGTGCAAGAAAAGCCAATGTTGCGCTTCTTCTATGTCAGAAAGCTATTGGTAAGAAGTGGGGTCTTCAACCTCGCATCACCCAATGGCTATATATAGCTGTTATTAGGCCCATATTGATGTATGGTATTACGGTATGGTGGACAGCTCTTGATAAATCTTCGTACTGCTCAGTACTTAACAGGATTCAGCGTAGAGCTGAACTCTGTATTAGCGGGGCGCTATGCACCACACCCTCTATTGCACTAGATTTGATGCTTCAGTTACTGCCAATGGATATTATTAGTAAACAAATGGCAGCTTCATCTGCTTTAAGACTAAAAGCTACCTCACAATGGAGAGACAGTGCCTATGGTCATGCCTCCATTCTAAATCTTTTCAATTTTACTCCTAAAAACGTTGATTACATCACACCCACTCTCAATTTTGACAGGAAATTTGATGTCGTGTTTCCATCTATAGAGGTATGGACGTCAGGTGGCCCCTTCTTAGATGAGGGCGTAACCATCTTCACTGACGGATCCAAAACAAGTAGTGGTGTAGGTAGTGGAGTTTTCTCAGAGGAATTGAACAAATCTTCCTTCTTTAGGCTTCCAGATCATTGTAGTGTCTTTCAGGCGGAAGTGGTCGCCATCAGGGAAGCTATAGCTTGTTTGAATGTAGATGATATATTTGGCAGGAATATATACATACTATCAGACAGTCAAGCTGCATTAAAGTCCTTGAGTTCGGTCCAATTTACATCTAGGACGGTTCTTGACTGCTACACATCTCTAAACGAAATGTCGACGCAGCTCAATATTTCTCTAATCTGGGTTCCCGGCCATAGGGATATTTTCGGAAATTGCAAAGCAGACGAGTTAGCCAGAA